ATATGTTTGGGTTTATATTTGTACTCTCTATTCTGTTCCACTGGTCTGTGGGTCTGTTCTTGTGCCAGTACCAAATTGTCTTGATTACTGTGGCTTTGTAGTAGAGCTTGAAGTTGGGAAATGAGATCCCCCTGCTTTATTCTTCCTTCTCAGGATTGCTTTGGCTATTTGGGGTCTTTTGTGGTTCCATATGAATTTTAGAACTATTTGTTCCAGTTCGTTGAAGAATGCTGTTGGTGTTTTGATAGGGATTGCATTAAATCTATAGATTGCTTTAGGCAGGATGGCCATTTGACAATATTAATTCTTCCTAGGCAAGATCATGGGATGAATTTCTACCTGTTAGTGTCCTCTTTAATTTCTCTTAAGAGTGTCTTGTAGTTTTCAGGGTACAGGTCTTTCACTTCCTTGGTTAGATTTATTCCTAGGTATTTTATTCTTTTTGATGCAATTGTGAATGGAATTGTTTTAGATTTTTAATATTGCAGCAAAAAGCTGAAAACAATAGGAGTGTCTACCAGTATGGATATGAGTCAATAAGTTATGGTACATCATCCCTGTGAAGACATCTAGCAGAATAAATTGTAGCTATGCTAGATGATTTGGTGGGAAGGATTTCCATAAGATATTATTGTGTTGGAAAGGCATGATACAGGAAAGAGTTTGTAGTATCCCATTTTTGTAAAACACTAGTGACCCAGAAAACCCTAAATGCAGGTAAATGTGTGTATTATTATGATGAGTATTGAGAAAAATAGAAAAGGTTACATTCTAGACTGCAAACATGGGCGAGGTGCTAATGTGGATGGAAGGAGAGTGAGGGGTCAAACAACGAAGGAAAAGGGGGGAAATATTTAACTATTGAAAGTTCAGAATGGTATTACATCTATACAAACTATAGGATATACATATGTATTATGTATGGTAGTTAACATAAAAATTAATTCAAAGGGACAAATCAACGTGATCCGAAGTAATCAAGAAAGCTTTCTTAGAAACACTGCTATGAAAATAATTTTAGGAAATTAAAAACTTTGCCAAGATCTTGGAGTGGAATTGCAGTGGAGGCAAAAGAAATTTCAGAAAAGGGGGACATTGTAAGCAAGGTAACAGAGAAAGAAAATGTTGGCTATATATAAAATGTAAGAAGAAATTAGTTTCAGAGTAATTGGGGAATGATAGGGAAAAAAAATTGGCCAAATCTCTAAAGACCACATATTGTCTGATTTCCCATATTACCATAGACAAATCTATAGAGACAGAAAATAGATCAGTGGTTATCAAGGGATGGGGTAGATAGGGAGGAAATGAGGAGTGGTATTAATGAGTGTGGGGTTTCTTTGAAATACTCTAAAATTGTAGTAATGGGTGCATAATTCTGTGAATATACCAAAGACCATTAAATTGTACAAATTAAGTGAGTGAACTATATATGGTATGTAAATTATATCTCAGTAAAGCTGTTAAAACAAAAAGTTGGCCAGATAAATTGGAATCATGTGGTAGAGAACATTAAAATCTAAGCTTAAGAATTTGAATTTGATCTAACAACTAAGAACCATTGTAGATTATGACTATGAGGTGTACTGTCCATAATTTCCCTTTTTTAGTCCTTTTCTCTTTATCTGGGATTTTAATTATAAAAGTGTATACCCCTTGAAACAAAATTCAAATAATAGAAAACATGTTAAATAGAAAATTTCAGTCTTATCTCATTCCCATAGAGTACCCCTGTAAAAATTGGGATTCTTTTCTAAACTCTTTTCTCTCTCTCTCTCTCTTTTTTTTAAACAGAAAGGGGCCATAGTATCCATCTTGTCCTATAACTTTTCATGCAGCAGTGTTTCATGGCTGTCTTCCATACCTGCAGATGGAGACTGGCTACCACAGGCACTAATAGTGACCCACATCATAGAGTCGTTGTAGAGATGAAATGAGTTGATACAGGTAGATAATCTGAGTTGTAAGAGACACGGAGTAGTCATTCAATAAACTTTAGATGCTGTTTTACTAATATTATTGCGAAGTGTAGGTTGAAAGATACAGCTTTTGTGAGTGATTGTTTTATTTACTTTTGCTTTGTAACCTAAAGTGAAAGCAGGCATAGTTTCTATTTCAGAGGGGAAGCATGCAGCCAGTTACCACTGGGCTAGCAGCCAGGCAGTCTGCTAGGTGCTGTTGTTAAGTACTAACACATAATACTTTATAACAGAAGTTCTTAATCTGGCCCTTCTTTCTTTTTTGGTGGGCTTAAAGGAATCACAGATTGTATGTCAGAAGTGTATATGTGCCTGTGTGCAGTTTAGTAAACAATGAATCCATAGCTTTGGAATCCATAGCTTTCAAAAGATTTTCTAGAGAATCTTCAATCCTTAAGAACAACCTACTTTATCAAATTTGATTCTCATGATAGCCCCAAGAGGTAGGTAATATTATTAGAATTTTGGGGGGATACAAAGATGGCCCTGATCCTCAAGGAGGTTATGCATGCCCAGCTTACTGTCAATGTCAGATAGAGTGTGAAGGCCTATCAGAAAGGCAGTATTATACCTTGGAAATTCAGAAGGAGAAATTGATTCCAGCTCTTGAAATTGAGGAAAGGGTTTTGACCTTAAACTGTAATATGTTAAAAACAATAGATCATGTAACAAATACTTAGCAAATGCCTACTCTGTTTCAGGTCTTATTCTGGACCTTGGGAATATAATATAACATTGAGCAAGCAGACAACCATCTGTGTCCTCATGGACCCTACATTCTTGTACCTTCTTCTCACCTTAAATATTGAAACCTAAGAGGAACTTGAATTACATGTTTAACAATGTCTTCCATATAAATACTTAATAAATATTTGAGTGAAAGTATGAAAAAGAGCTGGGCATCATCTTAATGGGGTCATAAGCCAAGTTTTCTGGCAGGACAATATTTAATTATCATTTCTTCCATATTTTTACAATGGAATAGATATGGGTTATCACCTTAACTCCCCATGTGCTGTGAGATTTGGTATAAATTGAAGAAAATTAACTCAGGTGTCTCCATCTAATGTCAAGCTACCTTAAGGACTTTGGCTCTATAGAAATGCAAAGCATCACTGTTATTTGTCATTTCTAGGGGAGGTGACACCAGGACTATCCCAGGTGGAATATGCACTTCGCAGACACAAACTAATGTCTTTGATCCACAATGAAACACAAGGGCTGAGTGGGACAGACCAGACAGTGGTTCTGCTGTCCAACCCTATATACTACATGAGCAATGATATCCCTTATACTTTCCACCAAGACAACAATTTCCTGTACCTGTGTGGATTCCAAGAGCCTGATAGTATTCTGGTCCTTCAAAGCCTTCCTGGCAAGCAGTTACCAGCACACAAGGCCATACTTTTTGTGCCTCGGAGAGATCCCAGTCGAGAACTCTGGGATGGCCCACGATCTGGCACTGATGGAGCAATAGCTCTAACTGGAGTGGATGAAGCTTATACACTGGAAGAATTTCAACATCTACTACCAAAGCTAAAAGGTAACAAATGGAAGCAGAAGTCAAGTCACAGGCCAGTTTGGGAAGATCTTCCTTGCCTATTTAGGCAAAGCTTTTAATTTCCTAAAATGATTATCAGAACAGTATTTCTCTGAGAACCCTGAAATAAACTGAAGTATTTTCCATAGGACTGGGCTACTTTAAAGATTTCATTTATTCACTTGCGAAATCTTCACTAACTTGTTCATTCACAGAGATTGTCAACTATCCAAGAAATCCCAGAGAGATTTTCCTTTTAAAATGGAGGATGGCCCTGGGCCACTCTTTAAGATTACTGACCAGTTTATTGATTTTTGACCACTGTTTCTTATCTCATTGCTTTTGCTAACTCTTCAAAAGGAGGCAGTATTCTCAAAGAATGATCAATGCATCACAGTATCATAATCGCCTGGTGATGCATATTAGAATTACAAATGCATAATAGATACTGGAAATGTAAAATCTCAGGCTCCCCACTCTATACTCTAAATCAAAATCTGCATTTTAACAGGATTATCAAGTGATGCATATACAGTTTAGTTTGTGCCCCTCAAAACAGTCACTTTCTACATTTATTCTGGTGAAATGATCACTCAGAATACTTCGGGATTTCTTTTTTTGAACTTTTCAAAAGCTCACTACATTATATACTATCCTTAGTGATTCTTATAAATCAATACTTCTGGGAAGCATTGCATTTTTTGAAGTACCCAAAAGTCATTAAGAGCCAAATTTGGTGTCTTTTACAGAGAGAATTACCCAGCTAAACTAGTGGGACTTTCTTCTATCTTCAAAGTCTTCATAAATGCAGGGTGCAGAATATTTTCTTTGTAGCTTTTTTGATTTCTTGAATTAGTTGCCTCTGTCATGCTTGACAGTCTAAGTTTTTTTAACCCAGTATTGTTAAAATCCTACATAAAGTGTATTTCTCAAAAGCACTTTTCACTCAGCATTCTTAATGTTGATAGTTTACTAGATAAAAGCAAAAGATTAATGAAAAGATTAATGAAAATCATATGAGAGCAGTTAGTAGAGGTTTTACTTTTAAAAAATTACAATTAAATTTCTATTAAAAATAAGGTTAGCATTTCACATGTAATATACATTTAAAAACCATTTTTCTTTTAAAATGAAAATATTTAGGAGATTGTATTCACTAATACATGTCCAATCAAAATTTTTAGTATTTTTTTCCCCTCTTCTATCCCAAAGCACTTTGTATAAAACATAACAACCCTTCAGACTTAGATGGTTGCTTGAATTAGTTATGCTGCTCTTAGGCTTCTGTCAGAAAAAGAAAAAAGGAACAAATGGAGACCTGGTGTAAGTGGAAAACATTTTCATAATGAGCCTTCTCATTTTATATTTCAGGCAAATACAGGCCATTTCCTTGGGTGTCTAAGGTTGTTAAAAGGCGCACTGTTGTCTGTAATGAGAATACTTGGCAGGTGGGAAAGGGAAGACTTCTGAATAAGTGTGAATTACCACGTATTATCAGTTGTAGTGTTTCTATAGCCACGAATACCGGCTCCTAATGAGAGAAGAATACCTGCTCCTCTCACTAATACTGTGATTAACTCTAAGATCATGACCTGAGTACTGTTTTCTATCCTTTTGTGTTTAATTATTCAACACTAGCTCAGTTGTGGTATGAAGAGCAATTGTTATAATTGTTCTTTAACAGTTAATAAAAAAGAACAACCCAAAACTTGAAAAATGCTTTTGTCTCATCTGTCATCTTTGTAAAGAATACTGAAGTTTTGGGGCAGAAAAGCTGTCTATTCAGTCTCAGAATATCTTGTCATTTTCAGAGAATGGCCTTCCAATGATTTCTGATCAAACCCTTCAATTACTAAAGTTCTGAGGGAGTTTGTGCTCAGCCCTTTACAGTTCCACAATACAGGTTTTATAGTTTTCACTCTTGTTCAAATCTGTTGATATTTCTTGTTGTTGCTGTTAGTTTTATTTTAAATTTATTTCTTGGCCTCTCATTTTAAGCCGAGACAAATATGGTTTGGTATGACTGGATAAGGCCCTCTCACACTCGGCTTCACTGTGACTACATGCAGCATCTGACTGAATTCAAAGCCAGGAGCAAGAACAAGGTTCGGGCTGTCCAGCAGCTGGTACAACACCTGCGGCTCATCAAATCTCCTGCAGAAATTGAGCGAATGCAGATCGCTGGGAAGCTGACATCACAGGTACAGTTCACACTAAAAACATTTTCCCAAATTAAAAAATCTTAGCTCTGAGGGTTCAGTGGGCACTTTTGAAGTCATGTACCCAATACAGTAATCTCACAGCAGATGTACATCTAGCTTCTACATCTGTGTTCAGTGAACATGTCTGCATACTTTCTCAGTGCCCTGAAAGGCAAAGTAAATCTGTCTTCATATATCTTTTACCCATGACCTCAGTTGTTTTTCCTTGGAACACTGTACATTAATGAATTTTATTTCCTTTCCTTATGATAACTGCAATAATAGTGACAGTTAAAGAGTTTGGTTGTTAAAGGCGACTCACAGGACCCAAAATTACAATGCAGTTTATTATAGAAACATGGCACAGTAGAGCAACAGCATTAAAGTAAGAATGCCTGTTACAGTCAACGACTGTCTCACAGCAAGGGTCTAGAGAATCCAGGTGCAAGCTCTTATTGTCTTCCTTCAGTAGGGGCCGGGAGGATGCATTTCCTCTCATGGGTCAGGAACCACAGATACACACAATGCCTCAGAACCAGGGAGTCCCAAATGGAATCTCAGCTAGGAGGGATTTTTGTCTTTTGATCACATTGGCATATTCCTGCTATGTAACAGCAAAGCCCTCTGGGGCCTCAAGGAGACCAAGTACAAACCATTACTTATTCTCACTGTTACCAGAACTGACAAGCTAATACAAACTGCTCCAAAATTCCTTGCAAAGCTTTTTTTCAATTGTGGTAAAATATATATAACATAAAATTTGCCATTCTACCTATTTTTTTTTTGGCATCATTAATCTACAATTATATGAGGAACATTATGATTATTAAACTCCCCCCATCACCAGGTTCCTCCCACATACCCCATTGCAGTCACTGTCCACCAGTGTAGTAGGATGCTGTAGAATCACTACTTGTCTTCTCTGTATTGTACATCCCTCCTCATGCCCCCACATACATTATGCATGCTAATCATAATACCCCCTTTCTTCCCCCCCTTATCCCTCCCTTCCCACCCATCCTCCCCAGTCCCTCTCCCTTTGGTAACTATTAGTCCATTCTTGGGTTCTGTGTGTCTGCTGCTGTTTTACTCCTTTAGTTTTTTCTTTATTCTTATACTCCACAGATGAGTGAAATCATTTGATACTTGTCTTTCTCCACCTGGCTTATTTCACTGAGTATAATACCCTCTAGCTCCATCCATGTTGTTGCAAATGGTAGGATTTGTTTCTTCTTATGGCTGAATAATATTCCATTGTGTATATGTACCACATCTTCTTCATCCATTCATCCACCGATGGACACCCAGGCCACTTCCACCTCCTGGCCACTGCAAACAGTGCTGCGACAAACACAGGGTTCCATATGTCCCTTTCAAACTGGGCTACTGCATTCTTAGGGTAAATTTCTAGGAGTGGAATTCCTGGGTCAAATGGTATCTCCATTTCGAGGTTTTTGAGGAATCTCCATACTGCCCTCCACAATGGTTGAACTGATCCATATTCCCACCAGAAGTATAAGAGGGCTCCCCACACACACACACACCTCTGCCAACACTCAGTGTTGTTTGTCTTTTGGATGGTGGCGTTCCCTACTGGTGTGAGGTGACATCTCACTGTGGCCCTAATCTGCATCTCTCTGACAACCATCTCCCCATGTGTCTGTTGGCCATCTGTATTTCTTCTTTGGAGAACTGTCTGTTCAGTTCCTCTGACCATTTTTTTATTGGATTATCTGCTTTTTGTTTGTTGAGGTGTATGAGCTCTTTATATATTTTGGATGTCAACCCTTTATCGGATCTGTCATTTATGAATATATTCTCCCATACTGTAGGATACTTTTTGTTCTGTTGGTGGTGTCCTTTACTGTACAGAAGCCCTTCAGCCTGATGCAGTCCCACCTGTTCACTTCTGCTCTTGTTTCCCTTGCCCAGTGAGATATGTTCATGAAGAAGTCACTCATGTTTATGTCCAAGAGATTTTTGCCATTCTACCTATTTTTGAGTGTAGAGTTCCTCCATGTTCACTCATTTCATAATCAGTTCAAGAGACTGAATTAAGCCATCAATTTGTTGATTCCAGTTGCCTTCAAACCCTGGCATAGGGTTTCTTTGGTGAGCATAGGCTGCTTTGATTTGTCCTTAATTTCCATACATATTTCCAAAGAGCACTGGCCCACATGTGGGGATCTTTTATTGTCCAGTTATTTATGATCCACTTGATAGACTAATTACAAGTCCATTGTCAATAGCCCAGGAGTCTGTATTTAGACAAATACTAAGACTTTTATTTGTGTCCAGCTCTTCTATCACAGGTAGGAACACAACATGTAATTCAAGTCAGTGAAATCAACTTGTTCTTACCTTCTTCTGTAAGGATTTTACCGTTGCTGTTCTCAGAGCATCTGCTTTCCATACAGAATTATCTTTAATTCTGAAATTACCATGTGTGAGCCAGACCAATTGCCTGGCACCCTTGGGCAGTTTATCAAAGGATGGATCCAAGGTAAAGAAGCTCATAGAGATGATGAATCTGTTCCTTGGATCCCTTAGTAGCAGACCCCATATAATGCATTTTCATTTGAATATTGCCTACTTAATTGGAATGCTTTTCTGACATTACTAGTTATATAATATGTATAGCAGATCTTAATATACCCTTTTAAGTCTTTTATATTGGAGCTCTCTCTGTAAATGCCCAGAAACAACTCAGCAACTGTCTTTCAAAAGATACAGTGGGAAGCAGCATCCAAAAATGTCTTAGCCCGAAAGCCCAGAGGTCATCTTGGAGCAACAGTTATGGCTTTTGCTGGGAAACTCCAGTCAGTATGAGTACAGGTGGCTGGCACTTTCTAACATCATTTCAGCATTAGGATCATATGGTCCTAATAGCTTAGGACACAGTCTTATGTAGTTCTAAGAAGTCATCTTCTTGTTGAGGCCTCTAATCAAATAATGCCTTTTTCATTGTGATTTTATGAATTGGGGCCAGTAGAATCCCTAAGTGAAGTACGGTTTCTCTAAAAGCAAAATAGGCATAGTAGGTGTTATTGGGTCTTTCTTCTGTTTAATATGAGGGATACAGAGTGGTAACAGTTTATTCCTAGTGGTCTGCGATATGTCACAGATTGCTCCAATTTGTGTACTCTCCCAAAATTTCATAGTCTGTGTAAGGCTGTGGATTTCTAGCAAGGATAGTTTGTCATCCTCAGTCAGTCATATGATTTGCAACCTTAGTAAAGCTGCTTTTAACTTGATTCACATTTTCAGATAATAATAATACCATCAATACAGTGTATTTTGTATTAGTTTTATTAGATCTAGTTTCTACCTCATTACATCATGACAGTACTCAGGAGAGTTTAAATATCCTTGAGGTAATAGAGTAAATATATATGAGAAACTATTCTACCCAAATGCAAATTGTTGTAGGCCCTCACTGGTGACTGATAATGACAAAAATGCTTTAGTTTATTGTATCAGCTGAATAGTCTGGACTCTACTGGGAACAGCTGAGGCTCTTAAGAGTATGGTTTTCCTGAGCCCCTTGTACTCTACTGTTAGTGACCTGATTGATCAGCCTTCCTCTTTGGCCACACTGGGCTATCACAGTGAGTTATGGACACAAACATGCCTGCATCTGACATTTCCTTATATACAGTAGTAATTTCTTACTGCCGTGCAGGTGTCCAACAGTATTTCCTGTACTTGATGAGTTGATTTAGCTTACTTAATTCTAAAGGCTCCCGTGTCACATGTCTAATGAGGACTGCAGGGAGGGAGGAGCAAAAGTATGCCTTTTTTCTTACTACCCAGTAGGAGAAGGAACTTCTATTCAAGCATATTCATATTAATTGTATTTTCAGGTAAGGGAGACATCACAGTAGACTTAAAAAAAAAATCATACCTTCCAACATTTAGCCAGACTTTAATTTTTATCCTTCCCATGGTAGCATCTCCATGTCGCCCTGAATGAATTCTGTCATCCTTAAGGGGCTCATTTGCAGCCCTAGGCAGTACTGCACACTGTATCCCTGGAGTTTCTTCTCCACATCCAACTATTCACTCACACATTTGAAAAGGTCTTGATCCCCTGCCAGAGATTAGGTTAAGAGATCCTGGCCTTCATAGCAATCTTCTTCCATTACCACCTTAATATTATTAAAGCCAGTATTTTGGCATCTAATGATAGAGGCTCAGTGGAATCTTTCTCTTTCTAAAATTCCATTAAACTCTGATAAATTGAGTGTATCTGCCTTGGGATTTTTATACCCTGAGGAGTTTGAAGAGACAGTTACTATTCTAATAAACTAGGGATTTCCCTGTGTACCAGAGTGAGCCCTAACATTGCTCTCCACTCAGCAGTGTTTAAAGCCATCTAAGATTCTCAGGAACCATTTTTAACAAGAACGCATCAAAACGTTGCATGTAAATCTACAAAATGGCTTGTTTCCTTCACTGAATAATCCCTTCCATGGCTTTTTGTCCTTCATTATCAGTTTGCCCTACTTGAATTATCTTAGTTGTTGTGTGTACACAGGCTTAAGCTGCCTTATTAAAAATTATAGTGGTCCAGGTTCCTTTAGTTGGAGCATCACCTGCCAGCTAAAAAGGGTGAAACTCATCTTACGGAGACTCTGAGCTTGTGTCAACCAACACTGAAAGCAGCAATCACACCAGAGTTTTTAGCAGAACTGCCATTGATTTGCAATCCCCTTCCAGTCTATTTTGCTAGCTGCTAATTCAGGTTCTATCATTTCCAGATTCCACTGATTTCAAAGCCATGCTATTTCAAGCCAGGAGTGGCTTGGTAGTCACGCAGGCTCAGAATTTCATTTTCATCCTCTTTATCAGAATCAATCTTCTTCTTTCAAAATAATGCCTTAATTATATATTTAATTAAGAATAGTTCAGATGTGATTAAAGATGGCTGCATGAGAGGTGAAACAGAGGCTTCCTCCTAAAACCTCATATAATATGAAAATATATTTTATACAACTAAT